TCCTAACAACTAAGAGACCCTTCTCCTGGCTCTCTAGATAAAAGGTGCTTGTGCAAACATTAGGGCTAGTGCAAATGGTTCCTTTAAATGAGATATATTTGACCAGCTAGGACCCGATCATTCACTGACTGAAGTCAACCTGAGTCCTCCTTGGCTTATTGCCCCTTTGATTTCTAATGTCCTGAAAGAATTTATTCCTAAGACATCTGCTGCTCTGCCTGCATTCTTTATTACTGGAGGCAGCACATAGCATTTCAAAATTTGAGTGAAATTAGCCTGGAGCTCTGTTGCACAGACTGAAACTGCATTGCAGGAAAATGATGAGAGTCAGATTCTGTGCTTGGATGCCCATGTGCAGCTCCTGTTGCTAGCCATGCACACCTGAGGGAAAAGTTGGATCACAGATGTTTAAAAGGACAACTGCAAGTTACCCCTTCAAGCGCAAGCTAGTTGTTAATTACCACTCACTACATCCTTAGGATGCCCCATTGCAGTTTGGTTTAGTGCAGTTTAGCTCTCATCAAGGTCAATGCAAATACTCCTATTGATTTCATTAGGAAATGAATACAGTCCATAAAACTTTAGGCTAGTTGTTTGAGTTTCAGTTTAAGGAATTTCTGACCAGCACAAAAGTTGTGATCTTGTGTATTGTACAACTCTTGGTGTAAGAGAGGGCAGGGCCGGTGCAACCATTTAGGCAAACTAGGTGGCCGCCTAGGGCGCCTAGTGGTTGGGGGTGCCTAAAAGCCCGCTCAGGTGAGGAGGTGGAGTGGAGGTGAGCTGGGGCAGGCTCCCCAGGTGGGGTTAGCTGCTGCAGAGGGGGGGAGCTCCCCGGGCGGGGTTAGCTTCCGCGGAGGGGGGTCTCCCTGGACAGGGTTAGCTGCCGTGGGGCGGGGTAGCTGCTGCGGGGGGGCGGGGTTAGCTGGGTGAGGGGGGGGGCGCAAGGTGGAAGTTTCGCCTAGGGCGCGAAACTTCCTTGCACCGGCCCTGAGAGAGGGGAGATATAAATGCTACCGCCTTTTGCCATTGTGATTTAACCAAGTGACATCATTACATTTGTTTTTCCTTTGCAAGCTGAAACATGAGCTTCTTCCTATTTGCAAGAGCTTCTCTTCTCTGTCTTTGTGGAGCAGCTGTGACTAGGTATTCTGTGTACATAGAGCTACATACACATAGGGCCATGGTGTAGGAAACAAAAGGAAAAAAAGAAAGCAGTGGCTTTAATTTTTTTCATAAATGGCCAGGAATGATGGGTGTCTAACAAGAGGCGCCTGAAAGAGACTGATTTTCAGAAAGTTTGAGTCCCTGCTCTGACAGTCCCTTTAAGATGTCTCAAGTAGGGCACACAAAATCCCTAGCTGCTTTTAGAAATCTAGGTCGATGTTCCAGAGGAAGTGAACCTCCCACCTCTTGGCTAGTGCCCAGGGACCCTGACCAAGACTGAGGCCTTAGAGGGCTAGGCACTGTACATATCCAGAGTAAGAGATAGTCCTGCCCCCAAGAGCTCCCAGTCCAGATAGACAAGGGATAAAGGTGCCATTTACAATCCCCATTGTACAGCTGGGGAAATGAGGCACAGAGATCAAGTGACTTACCAAAGGTCACACAGGGTGTCTTTGCCAGAGCTGGAGATCATACACTGATCTTTTCCATCCCTCACCTGCCTTCATTGTAAGAGCATCCTTTAGCGTCTCTGCTCAACCAGTGAAGCATGGCTACTGTTAGTTCAGCTATGACTCATGGAAGCCGTTTATTGCTTTGGAACTTAAATTCCCATACTGAGGAATGCAAGCCGTGCTGTCGGAGCCCCCTGAGCAAGTCAGCATGTTACCAGCCCGTAGGGCTCCATCAGACCTGTCAGCATCCTCTGCCTGGAAAGCCATGGAGACTGGATGTCAAAACAGACTAGAAATTGAAGTCTAGAGCATTGGGAAGAAGGGAAGTACACTGGCCCTGAATTGTAACACGCCTCCCGGATTGACGCAGTAAGCTAAACATTGTCTCCGATCCCATTGAACTAGCGCTTTGGGCAAATCAAAGAGAAATTAGAAGAGCAGCAGCCTCCTGAAGTCAAGAGGGGGAAATGTGCCAGATTTGGTTCTGCAGATTGTCTCTTTGTATGTAAGAGAGACAAGGTGGGCGAGGTCATATGTTTTAGGACCAGCATCTGTTGTTGAGAGAGAGAGAAGCTGCTCTTCAGGTCTCTTGTACTTTGGTGTGTTGTCAGAGCTGTTGCACGTTATAGTGCATTGTGCTGTTGGACTAAATCCCACCCTGGAACTGAATTCTCAGCTCAGCAATGTGTCTTTCCTGCCAGGCAGAAGTTTAGTACCCCTAAGAATTCAGACCAGTTAGGCAGGAGGCAAATCACCCCTTTACCGGGGGCGGGGGGGACGGCATGCTGACACTTCAGCATGACAAACACCCTTAAAACAGACAGAACTGCTGCACCTTTCCGCTTCTGCAGCAGGTGCACCGTAACTCAATGGCAGATGCTTAAGAGATTGCAAAGGATACATCTTGTGGAGGATAGGGAAGCTGACCAAAACAATATTAAATCATTATTTGTATTACATGAAGACCTAGACAGATGAGATCAGGGCTTCATTATGCTAGGTGCTGAACAAAAAAAAATAGCAAGAGAGAGACTTTTCCCCAAAGAGTTTTCAGTCTAAACAGAACAGACAGGGAAATGACTTGCCCAAGATCATGCAGCAGGGTGGTGAGAGGTAAAGTACTGTCACAGGTTTAGTTCGGAGGGGACAACCTAAATGGAAAGACAAGGAAAGGGAGCGGGGATGTTGCTGGGAAAAGGGCAATGAAGGGGACGGAGCAGGGGAGGAGTGAAGCTGAGATGAAGAGACTGGGAGGGAGATGGTGGGTTGGAGCAAACAGCTAATCAGCATAGGACAGAGAAAGTCCAGTCAAAACTGTAGCAAGTTCTCTGAATTTCCAGAGGATCCAGATTTGGCTGATTCTGCTCCTGCTCTGACCAGCTGGAGTCTCTGGCTGGTTCCTGTTTCTGCAGCTTTTCACCAAAGCAACATGGTCGTCTACTTCACCAGACTGGTGGGGGTTTCGCTACATGGTTCTAGGCCCAGGGAGTTGCTTGGGGGGAAGGGGTTGGCCCTGGCTAGACCCTGTTTTACCCCTCTCCCCAGTGCAGCAGTCTCTGAAGTTCATTGTTTGATAAATGCAAAGGAATGCACTTTGCAGGGAGGGGAAGTTTAAACTACTCGTAAACCTTACAGGGTTCTAAATTAACAGTATCAGCACAGGAAAGGGACCTGGACATCATTATAGGCAGCTCAGCGGAGACCTCTGTGCAATACACAGTGCGATCAAACTACCTAACATGCTGTTCACATGCGTAAAGCATGTGATGGAGAATAACACGGAGAATTGTCTAATAATGCCTTTTTATCAATCAGTGAGATGAGGGGTCGCCTCATCTGGAACACTGTGTGCAGTATTGAGCACCCCACCTCATAACGGATATCGTAGAACTGGAGTGGTTCAGAGAAGAGCAACAAGAATGATCAAGGGCCTGGGAAAACTCTCATCCAAAGGGGGTTGAAAAGATTGGGATTGTTACCTCAGAAAGAAGATGAGCAAGAAGGGAAATAATAAAAGCATATAAAATACAGAGTTGTCTAGAAAAGGAAGGTTGGGAGCTTCTGTGTTTTGTGCAGCCCCTAGCACAATGGTCCTGGGGCATGACTGGAGCTCCTAACACAATTTAATAATAATTTTGAACCTGAAGAAGGTTTCTGAGCAGGGTTTAGGTTCACTCCTCCCACATCCTTCCTCTTCCAGCCCCATTCAGAACACAGTGATCTTATTACCTTCCATTTCAGCAGCTTTATCTTCCCCAGCCCCTGTCACTACACTCTTGGCCATGTTCAGTTCAGTGATACTATTCTCTGGCTTCTAATGTCTCTAATCCTTGGAACAAATCAAGAGCCATCACAGACTCCAGATGTCCAGGTTTTCTTCCCATTAACAGATATTCTTAGTTCTGTTTGGTGGGGGGAGCTAGTCCCCTCTAGTAATTTATCTGGGGCTTCCAGTGTAAACCAACAACCTGTTTCCCTCCTGGCCCTCAACTTACAGAGTGGATGTTGCAACTACTGCAGTGGTGGAACAGGTGCAGAGAAGAGCTAGTAGATGATCAGGAGACTGGAGGGCCTATTGTATGAGAGGAGTACTAAAAGGTCTGGCCTTGTTTCGCCTAGCACAGAGAAGGCGGAGGGGGGATACATTTGTTCTCTATAACTACACTGAGTGTAAACACCAGGAAGGGTGACGAGCTATTTAAGGTTAAGGACAATAGTGGCACAAGAAGAAGTGGGGATAAACTGGCCATGAACAAATTCTGGCTAGAAGTTAGAAGTAGATTTCTAACCATCGGAAGGGTAAGGTTCTGGAACAGCCTTTCAGTAGGAGTTGTGGGAGCAAACACTTAATTTGTCCGATGAGAGAGCTGGACACATTTATGAGTGAGATTATATGATGGGGTTGCTTGTGATGGTGGGGGCAGGGCTTGGCAGCCCTCCGAGGGTCCCAAGTTTTGCACCCAAAAGACAGCAGTACTACAAAGGCTTAGCAACTTTGGGAAATATAGGCCTCACTTGTCTGCTGTGCCACAGTCACCTATGTGACCTTGGGCAAGTGTCGTGGGATTTTCCCAAGTGCCTAGCTCACTTAGGAGCACAGAGCTCATTGGAAGTCAGTGGGATTTACTTTCCTAAATTACTTGGGTGCTTTTGAAAATTTCACCATTATTCTCTCTGGGCCTGTCTTCCCCATCCGTAACAAGGGGGTGATAATAACAATAATACATCCCTACTTCACAGGGGAGTGTTGAGAATAAACTCCATTATTGACTGGGTGAGGCTCAAACAGTGCAGTACAAAGGGCTGTATAAGTACTTAGACAGGAGCAGGGACACCCAGTTGTGCAACTCTGGGTTTAATCAGACTCTGGTGTTGTTGCTCCAGGCGAGGATGATGATGATGACGAATGTGGGGAAGAGAAGCTGCCCTCCTGCTTTGATTATGTGATGCACTTTCTGACCGTCTTCTGGAAGGTCCTTTTCGCCTTCGTCCCCCCGACAGACTACTGGAATGGCTGGGCCTGCTTCGTCGTCTCCATCCTAATGATTGGTTTGCTGACGGCTTTCATCGGGGACTTGGCGTCCCATTTTGGCTGCACCATTGGCCTGAAGGATTCAGTGACTGCAGTCGTGTTTGTTGCGTTGGGAACTTCAGTGCCAGGTAAAAAAGTAATTTAATTTCCTGACATGATCTCTGCCATCTTTCCCCTGTGCTGTGTATTCGGGATTCAGAGGGAGCGGGCTGCAATCCTGGTCTGGATGAAGAGCTAACTAGTAACACTGACACCACCTTCGTGGTGGCTGTGGGTTAGTTAAAGTATAGCTTTAGCTTTGAATTTTCAGGCTTTCTAATGTTTTGATAACAACTTGTAACTGATATTTACAGTCCTAACTTCAGCAAACCCAAGTTTTCGTCCTCGGAATAGAATTCTAGTTGTTCCATGGAGTGCAAAAGTAACATGTGTCAATCCACATTTTTGCTTTCTCCACTGCCTGCAGAACGTTGGGTTTTTTTACACCTCATGTAGGTATGACATTAACTGCACTGGACTGGGTTTTTTAAAAATCCCCTTAAAACAAAGTGTCCTTAATCCATTCCAGAAATAGTTACTGTGTCTGGCAAGCCGTTCTTTGTTTCTTTTAGATCCCAAAGATTTTTTTCTGCGCCACTAATATTGGTATATAAGTGAATGGAAAACCAGTGAAATGAGAGGAAAGTACTTTTGGCCATGCTACTCTTACTGTCATTTTAATCTGTTGGTGCTACTGATAATAAAACATACAGCTCCAATTTCTGCTATCTGGTATATTGCTATAAATTACTCTGGATTTACATGGATCCACAGTGCATATTTCTCTCAGACACTCCTGCTGTTTAACTGGCAACCATTAACTGGGAACCATTAGCAAAATGCAGAGTGACACTTAAGTTTTTTCATCTGGCATAATTGGAAATTATGTACAGTGTGTTTAAATAGTTAAGACCCTTTTGTAAGTCCTTTTTTCAGTGTCTGTCCCACTGTCGCTAAACATCAGCTGCAGTAGAACAAAAACATTAGGAGGTAAAATAATATTGAGAATAGTGTCTCCCCATTATGTCAGTCAGTGGTACACCCTCACCTGGATGCTGTGTTCGCTGCAGCTCCACCTTGCCTCAAAGGACAGAGCAGGTACAGAGGAGTGAGGAGAGTGGGCAGCAGCCTGGGGAGAGCTCCCTGTGAAGAGGAGCTTAAAGGAGACAGAGAAAAGGGTACATGCCAGAGGTGTAAGGAATCAGTAGCCATACAGAGACGGCTCAGCAGGGACTCCCAGAGTTGTTAGCTGCACTGTGCTGTACATCTCTCCCATATCACAGCCGGGTCAGCCTCTACACCTCGCTCATCTCACTCTCCGGTCATGTTCCACCATGCCGGCTGGCTGCTGGGGGTAGGAAGAGAGGTGCGTCCCGCTGCAGCTCTGGGTCCCCTGTCCCCCTGCCTTCCCCTGCAGGGAGCAGAGAGAAGCCTGGCAGGGAAGGAAGGGAGCTGCCCAGCGCCCTGACAGGAGCTTTCAGAGAGGACCAGGAAGAAGGGGTGGCATGGACCCAATAGCACCACGTTCCCTACCTCCTATCAGCTGGCATTGGGTGTTACCAGACCTGTTGGCAAAGGGAGCTTGTGACTGGAATCACCAGCTCTGTATTTCAACAAATGATGCTATGTGCTAATTGGAAATGGGCCAAGGAGTCTTGTGTCTTGTTTTTGCAAAACCTCATTAGTCAGATTGTATTTTTTCCAAACAAAAACCAGGCCTGGATGGGCTCTGAGGTTCATATTATCCAAACCACCAAAGAGGAGGAATGGACTGGGTGGGGTAAAAGATTCCTCGTGTCTCATCTCAGTGGCAGTTTTGGATCAGCTTTGGTTTTGCCGAACCAGAAATGGGGGAGGTGCTGCACTGCTGTTTATTAATGGGCATAAAGCACCTTGAGACCCTTTGTGAGAAGAGCCTGTTTATGAACCAAGAATGTTACTACTCAATTGCCTTTCTTTTCTTTCTAGCCTAGTAGCTTTTACATGCCCTTTTTTCACATGCCCTCTAGCAATTCCCTGTCCCTGCATCTTAGTCTCCTGAGGGCTGTAATACTAATACATTAGTCTAATACAGGTTATTGGGCTCCATACAGGGGTAACTGGATGGGGTTTAGTGGCCTGTGCTAGGCAGGAGGTCAGACTAGATGACCTGGCGGTCCCTTCTGGCCTTACACTCTATGACCTCGCTCTCTCCAAATAACAGATGTTGTCAATTACCACCCAACCCCAATCACAATGCCCTAGTAACAATATCAGCATCACTGACTCTAATTGCACTCCCACCAGAATCCCTCTCCCAGCATCGTCCAACCCCGCCACCCCAGTTACCCAGCTCCTTACAGAAACCACTGGAACAGCTCATGTGCTAGTCAGTGTGAGGAAGGGTGTGTGAACTGGGCCCATTGCATTTGGGCATGGAAAGGGACAGACACACAAGCTATTGGTTTGCTATCGAACGTGGAAACAAAAAATGGCAAAAGAAAAGGAGAGGTTTAAAAACCAACAACCCTTTGTAGTCAGGTGGTAAAGAATTATCTGACACAGCCTCATCAAGACCCACACCATCCTCTCCATTTCAACAAGCATCCTTTTGAACTGATTGTGTAGATAAAATAAATCCTAGTTTACAAAAAAACGTGATTTTTAAAAATCTTTAATAAGCTTCAATTTTGTGGGAAACTTGGAAACCCAGAAAGAAGAATTCCATGTGGTACAATTTTGAATAGTTCTGCTGATATTGAGGAAAGTAAAGATCAATTTCTTCATAAGTAGTATGTTTTCCCTCCTCCGTATCATAGTCATAATACCACTCCAATGGCATTGCTAAAATTACCATGTGACCATTCTTGCTGAGACAGCTAAAGCAGACACTTGTTAAACTGGGAGAGATTTGAAATGTATGTGGAATATTTTTAGACTATCCAATAGGGTAGGGAGCTGAAATTTGAGAAGACAATTCAGTACCCTGGAAAGTATTTCAAATAACTAACTCCTCTTTTCCACAGATTCCAAAATACCTAATATCTCTTTAAGCTTTAAAAAGTTTTCCATGCCCTCAGTTTTTCAGTGTAGAAAATCGCTGTCTTTTATTCAAACCCCCGCCAGAGTTGCAATCCCATGTTCTCATTCTGAACTTCTGCTTCTTTAATCTTCTCCCTTGATCTCTCACACATTTTTCTGCATTCAGGTTCTTTGTTCTGCATGGAACACCTCTGATGAGACCAGATTCAGCTTTGATCCAGATGAATCAAAATTAGGTTGTTGAGTGTGAATAGCTGCTAGAAGTGTTTCTAGTGAAACATCTGAAGAGTCCTCTAATACCTGTTGTTTGGAGATAGGTCTCGGATTGATTAGACTGCCTCAGAAGCAGTCATGGTTAGTGGAGACTTAGCAAAGGGGCCTAAGAGAGGCAAAGAAGAGACTGTTCTTCATAGCCCAGTTTTATCAGCTGATCTAAGTATTCCTATAGTTCCATACTCCATGGCATTCTGCCTTTTTTAAGAGACTGAATCAAGCATGGTGAGCTAGGAAGCCTTCATTAAGGACAGACTCACGAATTGGAGGTTACATCCTAAGGACCTGTTTGCTCCGGGATGCCTTGTGTCTCCTGTGTCAGAATGTCTCCACTGTTCCCTCCACCCCTTATTATGGGCTGGGCCAACCAGGCACAATTGACTTTCAAGAGAACATGACCAAAACTAGTCCAGCTGAGATATATTTTGATCATGCATAGTATCACCAACTCCAAGCATTCAAATATCAGGAGTCAGGCCCCAAAAAATCATGATATTAACTTACAAAAATAGACTGGGTGTGTGTGTTTTATTTGCCTTCTGGTTGTAGAGCATGGAAGGATCACATTTTCAAGCCTTTCTCTATAACCACAAGGACTAGAAATTTACTGTATTTTTTTTTTAAAGCGGAGACTGTAGGAGCTGGGTCTTAAGAAAAGCCCTAAATATCACAAGACTCGCAATACAATTGCAAGAGTTGGCAACTCTGCATAAAACCAATGACACGAGTGCTCATACAGAACCCCTCAGTGCAAGGGAGCAACCAGGAGTCCCATCGGGTCCCAGAAGGGCTAACAAAACTGCATTTATTTTACTGAGCTACAAAACAGAAAATTCCGCTTTTTGTGGGTATGTCTGGTCTCATTTATTTGAAATAACAAGTACTTTGTGATCCATAGTGCATGCTCTAAATATCACGTACAACTTTTCTATGCCTGTAAGGCTCCAGGTGCACACCGGAGGAAAACGGCTGTGCTCTGTAGCAGTGTGGTGGACTGGAGTGCAGTGTCTGATTCAGATGACTTGTAATGAAAAGCTAAGCCCTTTTTTCTAACCATCATCACTTACATAGAGGCAAAATACAGAACATAAAGTGTCTGGCCTAATAACAATCTTTCATATGTTAAAAACTGCAACTGGATATTCACAGAACAATGCCTAATCATTTCCATTCTTAATACAAAAATACAGTGCCTTAGTGTTTCTTGAATGCGCCATATCAATTACAATAATCTCATTTCATTGGGCCTGTGGCCACTGTTTGATTAATAGCTAAGTAAGCAAAGAATCAACAGTAGGAATAATTAAACAAAATAGTTCTCATCCCTTTAATGCCACTGCATGGTCAGTTTCCTCCAGTAAAAGCAATTGTTTGGCAAGGTGACTAAACGAGATGCATCACTTCCTGGCCATAAGTTAGTGTCTCAATATTAGGGAGAAAATAAAGTTGGTGGGTAAGTGACGGGGAGGGGGAGAGGGAGAGGGAGGCGGGGGCTTGGTTTTGTGGTTAAGGCCTTGGCATAGAATCATAGAAATGTCGGGCTGGAAGGGACCTTGCGACGTCATCAAGTCCAGCCCCTGTGCTGAGACAGGACCAAGCAAACCTAGACGAAAACCCTCTCCCTAACAGGGGTTGTGCCACCTGCTCTAAAAACCTCCAGTGTTTTGAGGAATGCAGTCACTTTCTGCCAAGATTTTCATTGAGCTGAAAACCCTATTTTCCATTGCAAACCAAGTTTTGATAGAAAAATTTTGACTAGCTATATCAGTAAGAAATTTAATCCAGTGCCATGCCTTGAGCTGTTGATGGAACAGTTAAATAGAGGCCTTTTATTGAAACTTTAAAGGCAAAAAAATATCTGGAGTACACAAAATTATTGAACTTAGTCAGACTAGACAGGGTGGCCTGGTACTTCAGGAGGAATTTACAAAGCTAGATGTTTGGGCAAGATGGTGGCAAGCAGAAATATAGCATAGCAAGGTACTGCACAGTGGAATAACCATCTGAGCAAGTCATACTTGGAAGGGTTCTAACTTAATTGCAAGCACTCAGGAAAAATACATCAGCCTGGCATGATAGTTCAATGCAAACTTCTGCTCAGTGTTGATCAGAAAGCCAGGAGGTTAATAGGCTTTCTTAAGAAAGGGATGGAGAGTGGTTGACAAGATTATAAAGCCAATAAATAAATTGATGCCCTCACTTTGGGCACCCCATCTCAGAAAGGAGATAGCAGAAATAGGAAACGGCCAGAGGAAGGCAAAGGAAATCATTAGGGCAGTGGTTCCCAAACTTGTTCCGCCGCTTGTGCAGGGAAAGCCCCTGGCGGGCCGGGCCGGTTTGTGTACCTGCCCCGTCCGCGGGTTCGGCCGATCGCGGCTCCCACTGGCTGCGGTTCGCTGCTCCAGGCCAATGGGAGCTGCTGGAAGTGGCAGCCAGTACGTCCCTCAGCCTGCGCTGCTTCCAGCAGCTCCCATTGACCTGGAGCAGCGAACCGCGGCCACTGGGAGCCACGATCGACCGAACCTGCGGACGCGGCAGGTACACAAACCGGCCCGGCCCGCCAGGTGCTTTCCCCGCACAAGTGGCGGAACAAATTTGGGAACCACTGCATTAGAGGTTTGGAAAGACTTTAGAATGAGGAAAGAGTTTTTAAAGATAGAGGTTTTGATCCAGCAAGTGGAGCATGCAGAACCCCATAGAAATCAGTGGACAGAAATCCAGCCACCCATGTGGAATAACTTGCAGGATCAGGTCTTAAGCCTATTTAGCTTAGGGAAGAAGACTCAGGAGAGACAGGGAAGAGATGTATACAATTCCATTACAAAAATCCTTCATTAAGAGCAAGGTAAGGTTGCAAGCTGAAGCACTCAGAACTCAGGGAATGACATCATGAAAAGTAGGCAGTGTTGTTGTAGCCTTGTCAGTCTCAGATATTAGAGAGACAAGGGGGTGAGGTAATATCTTTTACTGGACCAACTTCTGTTGGTGAGCGAGACAAGATTTCAAGCTTACACAAAGCTCTTCTTCAGGTCTGGGACTCGTACTCATGACAGGTCTACACTTGAAATGATGCATGGGCGCAGCTGCACCAATGCAGCTGTGCCGCTGTAGTGCTTAAGTGAATATGCTCCTACGCCAATGGGCGAACTTCTCTCATCGACATAGTTAATCCACATCCCCGAGAGGCAGTAGCCATGTTGGTGGGAGAAGCCCTCCTGCTGACATAGCGCTGTCTACGCTGGCACTTAGGCTGGTGTAACTGCATCACTTAGGGGTGTGAACATGTAGTTATACCAAAGTAATTCTGTAGCGTAGGCCAGAGCACTGAGTATGTTTCCCGGACCTGAAGAAGCACTCGTGTAAGCTCGAAGGCTTGGCTCGCTCACCAACAGAAGTCAGTCCATCCTGAAAAGTGTCGGCACAACCTTAATTCTGTCCTCTTACGTGTGTGCATTACAATATAGGACCCCTGTCTGATTTCCTGGGCAGTCAATGTGGCAGGGCTGTGTGGAGAATACGGAGGCAAGCGTAAGCACAAAGGCTATAGCTATACCAGTTTTGCCTCTTGTATCTTGCCTTTATGCCATCTGATGAAATGTCTTTGTGTCTTTGCTTTGGCTTCATCCTTGTGGTAGTGCAAATCAAATGCACTTATGCACCCATGCCAACTGGCTTTTCGATATGATTTCTTTTAGACATAAGTTGGCAATTGCCATGCTTGCCACATGTGAGTGAGTACAAATACATATTCAGTAGCTATACATCTTGTCAAGAGGCAGATTATAGCATTTAGCCACTAACCTTCAGAGTGAATGCATCATAGCTCTGAGACAGGAGGATGCCTTAGCCAGCTCCCCAGCATGCACGCTGTATATCCATTAGGATGGTGCAGCCTACATCCCCCGTCATGCCCACCTAGCTCCACGGGCCAATGCAGCGAACCAGGACCCAATTCCCACATTAGGGGGTAGTTTCTGACCCCAGGTACACAAGGGGGAAATTCCTGGGCTTCTTCAGTCATGGGGACTACAATTGTCCCTGGCCTTTGCATGGGATGTGCTGTAGGGAGGGAAGGCACCGGCACAAAGGACATGCATAACTAAGTACAGAGCATCCCAGGGTGAGGCCCTCCAGCCCTGATCCTGCACCATGGAACTCAGTGGGAGCTATGCCATTAACTTCAAGGAGTGCAGGATTGGGCCCATTATAAATGTACAGCATTGCTGCATAACTGGTACTTGCTGCTCTTGTAAATGGCTACAGACCATTGCATTTCCTTTGGAAGGCATTAGTGTCTGCAGACAAACAGCGCTATGTCAGAGCTAAGCACCCTTAGAATGTATTCATCCTAGATAGGGAACATTCCAGAGGTTTTAGTAGGGGCTTCGCTAACTTGGGTATTTCATTAGGTTACACATTGAAGTCCATGAAGTCTAAAAGGGTGCCTGCCCTAGAGTGGGGGTCTGTCTGGTCTGAGTGGGAACTCCAGGGAATTTGACCTACAGGCCAGGCAATCCCCCTGCAGGGTGGTATGGACAGCATCTCTCCTGCTGCATGCTGCAGTGCACTATGTAGAAAGGATAACAGACCACCGGGGGGAGATCATGAAGTCTCCTTTGTGTTACAGTTCACAGAAATGTGGCTAGAGCTGTTCAGATATTTGCAAAACCCTGATGTGTGAATGTTCTCACTGCAAAGCCCATCTTTCCTCCTACTAAGTTCAATAGGACTAAATGCAGAGTCACAGACTATTCAACATGAGCAAGAGTGGCAGAGAAATTAACACCATAACATCAAATTCAGCTCAAACCTCTTCCCTAGGCTGGGCTGTTTCAGGAGAAAGTGTACATGGGGGAAAAGGTCAGGAAGTGTTTTGTCTGGGGTCCTCTAACTCTTGCAGGGAGCTTTGAGAGGTGGGATCTGGGTCCAGGTCTCCTCAGGGAAAGCTTCTCATTCCAAGGGTTTGGACTTCATCACACTTCATCACACGGGGCCAAAGGTGGCTGCATGCTGCCCCATCATACAGTCTCTGGGGAGTATGTCTACACTGCAAGCGAAGGTGTGCATGCATGGGCATGCCTGGGCTAGCTTTACTCTAGTGAGCAGGGATAATAAGGGTAGTGTCGATACGGTAGCATGGGCTAGCTGCCTGAGTCCCTGGCAAGCTTGTACTGGGGCAGTTAGCCCATGCTGAAGCTCATGCCACCACTTACACCCTGCTATAGCTAGATTAAAGCTAGCTCAGGTTTGGCCAGCCATGCTACTGTCCCACTTTCACCTGCAGTGGAGACGTACCTTTGATGCCAAGCTGTTATCTAGACCAGCTTGTCAGGAGCTCTATTCTCCAATAGGAAGGGACTTGCAATGACACCAGGGTAGCCCTTTCCAAGGCAACTTATTTTATTGCCACCTGACTGACTGCTTTTCTTTTCGCTTTGCAGACACCTTTGCCAGCAAAGTGGCAGCTACGCAGGATCAATATGCTGACGCCTCAATCGGGAACGTCACCGGGAGCAATGCTGTGAATGTTTTCCTGGGGATTGGCGTGGCCTGGTCCATCGCTGCCATCTACCACGCAGCAAACGGGGAAGTGTTCTACGTCTCCCCCGGCACCTTGGCTTTCTCCGTCACCCTCTTCACCATTTTTGCTTTTATCAGTGTGGGCGTGCTGCTTTACCGGCGGAGACCGGAGATTGGAGGTGAGCTGGGTGGGCCGCGGACTGCCAAGCTTCTGACAACATCCCTCTTTGTGCTCCTTTGGCTCTTGTACATATTGTTCTCATCTCTGGAAGCCTACTGCCACATAAAGGGCTTCTAAAGGAACAATCAGAGATAGTAAATATATTGCTAGAGATCTATATGTATCTATATAGAAAGCTATATAGATATAGATAGAGATAAAACATTGTGTATAATGAACAGAGGAAAAATAAAAGACATTTGCCATGTTCACTTACCTGCTGATGGAATGCAGCTTGGAGCATTCTTTGTACTAGGTAGGAGTAAGAATTCAGCAAGATTCTTAACCAGGGGTTGCAGCATATTAAAGGAGGCATGGATGCAGGGCCATCTTTGCAACTCTACCTACAAGAGCGTATGATACTGACTTTATTGTTGCTCCCACCCTGCCCCCTGGGGAGGATTGATCTGAAATGTAATTTGGGCTTTTCAGTAATGCCGGGGCCAGAATAGCTGTTAAGAAGCCGAGTGGTGGAGGGAAGGAGAGGAATAGGGGACTTCATGACTTCCTTACAAAAGTTTATTTGCCTTCATATATTGAGGACATGCAGATCTGTCCCCACTCAATGAAAAAAAGAGTCTGGACTGAAGAAGGAAGTCCAGGGGTTCAAGAGCTTTCTACCAATAGGATGGAAACCCCACTGCTGTTCTTGCTTGGATGCCCCATTTATTATTCAGTTGTTAGAGTGTTGACATGCTGAGAGTCACAAGAACAGTGCGAGACATTTCCTTATTTTTTGGCTGTATTATGATCAGCATGCCCTCTCCCCTACCCTGCAAACAAAATCAGTGAGCCCGCCCACCCCACACTCCCCTGCTGTGCCTTGCAGGCACCTGTCCAAACCCTTTGTCTCAAGTCCCTGTTTTAGTTCTGACAGAATCTTGGGGGCTTTACTTTTGTTGCCGTCCATTCCCTGCCCAGACCCTAGTGCGTTGCTCCGGTCTCATATTCCTGATTGGGAATGCTGTTGTGGTCCTTGTAACACTTTGCATGAATGAAGTAACCCATATCTGTATATAGCATTGTATAGCAATAGTCCATTCAGCAGTGTGGATCGGATGCTGAAGAAGTGAGTGAGTTTTCTTTTCACCCAGGTTTGGTTTTGGGTTTGTTTTTTTTCTTAATGGGACAAGGGGAAGTGGCTAACCCTTTAGCACTCTGCACAGGGGTTTTTAAGAAGCAATAACAAAGAACTGTGCAGCTGTAAATGTTAAAGGGAAGAATCTGTGCAAAACGCATCATAAAGTCTTATAGAGTGAAATCCTGGCTCCATTAAGTCAATGGCAAAATTCCCATTGACTTCAGTGGGGCAGGGATTTACCCATATGGGGTGATCCAGAGCTCACTGAAGTCAATGCAAATACTTTCATTGACTTCAGTAGGTTCTGCATCAGGTCCATAAAGATTAACATACATTTTAAGGGCCAGAGCCTGCCACCCTTGCTCTTGCAGCATAGAACTTTGTCCCACGACTAGTCGCTTCGAACACAACGGGGTTAAGTACCAGTCAGCCTGGGCATGAGTGGCAGCACCAGCCCCTGAATAAGCAAACCATGCCTGGGTTTTGTAAGCATCAGTTTTTCCCATTGTGGCTATTTTACATCTTCTGTGGCTCCAACAGATGTCAGATATCGTCAGGGTTTGCGGCTGTAGAACCCCTGGGCTCCATTTCTGTTCTCCTGTTCACCATCTCTGAGGGTTAGCTACAGCCCTGTGTGTGAACATTAAGCCAGTGGCGATTGGCAGGACTTTACAACTGCATCTCATCTAGGGCTACTTGAGGACTGAAGAAGCCAATGGTGGGGTTGGGGGAATGTAATGTCTCCAAGATCTCCAATGGTCAAAGCGTTCTCACCAGATACAGGATGAATCTTGCATTGTCCAGCAGCGATTGCATTTAACACTAGGAATTACTGTGGTGGTTATTTATTATCTGTTGTGCACCACAACAATGTGCTTGGCTCTGTACAATGCACAGGTGGCAAGACAATCCCCACCCTGGAGACGTTGTCATGTCAAAGACAGACATTGTCAGAGGTCCTAGAGGAAGGAGCTACCCTAGCTGATCTGGTTTTCCCTTCATTTTCATCCACTGTATGACCCTTTCATTTTCCATTTGTGTTCCCCGTGGACGCAATGGCTCTGCAGGAGGGATTGGAACCAGGAGAGAGTGGGGCCTGACACACTGGGATTGAGGGGGTCATTCTATGCACACTTGGCATCAGGGAAGGAGCTGTAAGAAGAGATTGGAGCGGGAGCCATGGCTGGCATTGCTCACAGAGCAAAGGGATCAGCAGGGGTACAAGTGGGGTAGGCAGGATCCCAGAACTAGGCCAGGACTGAGTTCAGCAGGGCCTTGAAGCTAAGGACAGGAAGGTTTGAACTCGTGATGATGAGCAAAGAGTGCTGATGATCTGGCTGTGACATTGGTGGGAGCAACATGGGTAGCGGAGAGGAGCAGGTTGCAGGGTTCAGTGGGGCCATGGGCATGGGAAGAAGGGGCGGGATGTTGAGAGGCTATGGCTGTCAGCCTGAGTCATGTATTGAGTTTGAACCTTAGGCCCTGAGCCAGCAAAGGGGTCTGCCCACATGGACTCTCAACCCACAGGCTGCAATCTGGGGCGTGGTCACTTAGCGGGAGATTCTGCCCTGCCCTTCCATGGATGCGTCGTGATGGAGCTGGGGAGTCTGAGGACCTTTCTCCCTCGCTTGGGCTGCCTGAGTCAGAGCCCCTTAGAATTGTTGTCCCTTCGCTCAGAGAAGCACAGGAGCACCCCCTCCCCCAGGAGTGCACAGTGCCCCAAAGCGAGCAGGAAGGAGGCAGATGACGGCTCTGCCCCCCGTCTCTCCCCTGGCATGCACCAGGCAGCAGAGTTGTCCAGTGTAGCAAGGGACCTGCTGCCTCAGTGTGCCTGGGAGGAAAGCTGCTCATGGGAGGCAGAGCAGGTCTGCACAACCCACTTCCTGTGCACTGTGCTTTCCAAAAGCTCTGCCCCCAAAGCCCATACCTCCCAGCCCACTTCCACCCCTGACGTTATCATCCCTCGGTATAGAAGTGCCAGGGCAGGGTCAGTCCCAGCTCTTGTGACTGAGTGCACCACACAGCTGTGCTCAAGAGCAGGGAAGCATTTCTGCACAGAGCAGATGATGATTTCACGGCCAATGTTCCCACTCTATAAGAGCCCAATCCTACTCCACGAGTCACCCCATGATTTCAGTGGGCCAAGCTGTGTAGCAAGAGGTGACAAGGCATAAGGAAGTGTGGCAGCATTGGTCCCTAAAGGATTGTTTTACCAAGACAAATGAAAAGCAAGAAGTTTGGGGTGACAGCACAGTGGTCTTAGCAGCATTTATGCCTCCCATTTGATTCCCCTAAGCTCAGCATAATAAAGATACTTTGATACGTTCACATTTAAAAACAATGGAAAATAAAAGCACAAGCAAGTGGCTTATAAATAACTGGCCCAAATCCTCAGCTGGTGTGAATTAGCATCTCTCCATTGACCCCAAGGGAGTGATGTCAATTCACATCTGATGAGAAGCTTTCCTTGTATATTATGAATGAAATATCTAAAAAAGGAACTGCAGGGATAGTACTTTGCATTAGCACTACTAGCTATTTTTTTCCTTTTCCACTTTTTCCCCGTCCCTAAATCACAGCCGGCATGTCCCTTGGTAGCGTCTTCTGATCCAGCGGAAGGGCATGTCTGACATTGGTGTACCCGGTTGGCCGAGGAGGGGGGGGTGAGATTTTGCACTCATTTCAAACAAGCTGTGGAAGGTTTTAATTATCTTGTTGTGCATTTTCATCTAGGAATATACTGATTTTTTTTTCTTGTAAACTCATTTTTCACTTTAAATGAGAGTGGGGGTTTTTTCTTTTAATTTTTATTCTTGGGGCAGGGTGGCGGGAAAGGGCATTAGAGCCTGATTCTGGTTGTTCAGGATTATGATTGCCTTTGTGTACAATGATTTCATTTCATTTGTTTGGTTTCATTACTTTTTATTTGTGTGTATTGTCCACAGCCATAGGCAGCAAGTACACTGATTGTGATGATCCTTATCGATAGTGCACAGCCACACAGACAAATAAAGTTTCTAATTGTTTCAGATTTACACAGTAGTGCGGCTGCATATTCTCTATGGGACATCTTTCCTCTCATTGTCTCTCCTCATTCTTTGTATTTATTGGTTTGCTTCATGTGTATCTTTCATTGACTAGGAAGAACCAGTGAACACCTAAGAAGAGTCAGTTGCAAATGTCAGCTGTTGTAGCCACAGAGGCAAACACTATTCTGAACCTAATGCAACCTCTGCTCTGAGATGTAGCCATGCTTTTCCATTCCATGCCCCATTTGATCTCTCATTTCCCATCTTCCATTCCCATTGCTGCAGCATGCTATCACCCCTGTGCATTTGGAAACCTATTGTCTGTTGACAGGCAAGGGATTTAGGTAACTCCCAGTAGAGACAGTAAGAGTTATGCATGGAAACCTCCTAAGCATTAAGAGACAATTAGACCCTTTAAGGTTACATACTGCCCTTTATCTGTGCTAGGCCTACCATCAGTGTCAACCATTTCAGCGTCAGTGGGGTATGTCTACACATAAACTGCTGCAGCTGACTACTGCAGCTGCGCCACTGTGGTGCTTCAGTGAAGACGATATCAAGGCCAACAGGAGAGCTTCTCCGGTCCATGAAGGTACTCCACCTCCCCAAGAGGCGGTAGCTAGGTCAACGGGAGACTTGGGCTATCTATAGCAGGGGTTATATTGAATTAACTGCAGCACTTGGGTGTGGATTTTATACTGACCTAATTTCCTAGTGTAGACCAGCCTTTATGCCTGGTCTACACTGGGGGGGGGGGGTCGATGTAAGATACGCAACTTCAGCTACGGGAATAGCATAGCTGAAGTCGACGTATCTTATTTCGACTTACCTCCCATCCTCACGGCTCGGGATCGACGGCCGCGGCTCCCCCGTCGACTCCGCTACCGCCGCTTGCCCTGGTGGAGTTCCGGAGTTGACGGGAGCGCGTTCGGGGATCGATATATCGCGTCTAGACGAGACGTGATATATCGATCCCCGATAGATCGATCGCTACCCGCCAATCCGGCGGGTAGCCTGGACGTAGCCTGGACGTAGCATTAGTATTGCCATCTTTCACTTACACAGGCCCTATTCCTGCTCTCATGTAGGTCAGTGCTTGGAGCAGGATTAGGCCCTTAGTTAACAAGCAGTAATGCGGCAGTTAAGTTACTAAAGGTCAAGTTGTCCGCTCTGGTGTCAGTTTCTACATACACACATTTGCACACAGAATGAGTTTGACCCACAAAAACGGGTGTAACCCTTACCCTGCCTTGTGCATGTAAACAGCCTGCTGCATTGTAGTACTGTAGTAGCAGTTATTGCCTGTAGTGGAGGGCATTGAGAGGCTGGAAAGCCAAGAAAGCCGGGGAAGCCAGATGAGTAGGAAGACTCCCAGGGAAACAACAGCAAGGGGTAGGACTGTGCAGAGGCCTTGGCTGCTTGTTTTAGGGTCCCTGGGCTGGAACCCAGTGTAGAGGGTGGGCCTGCATTCCACTACCAGCCACTGAGGCAGTGGCACTATGGGGCAGTGAGATGGAAGACTGCCTAGGATTGCTAGGGGGGAAGGACTTTAAATTTCCCCAAAGGGGAGAACCTTAGTAACCTGGTCAGAGGGCCAAGCCACAAAGAGGAGACTGAGTTCCTGGAGTGAGAGGGGCCACAGGGTGAGACAGAATGGGGGAAAGATACTGCCAGAAAGGGAGTGTAATGCCTGGCAGAGCTAATGCTCAGGACAGCTATCAGGAGGTGCTGCTAGTTGTGAGCCCTGTGCCATACATGTAAATAGCAGAGTTTAGTAAATAACTTCTGTAAGTAAAGAAATTGCAAAGTCTAAAATTCAAAAGAGTAAAAAGCTAAGCAAAATAATAAAGGAAGGGGAGGCATTGGGATTTTTTCCCCTTGAGTAGCTCCTTCAGGCCCTTGGCCAGTTGACTCCCATTGACTATAATGAATCTGGATCAGGCCCTAGAAGAATCACACGGGCAGAGTCTCATCAGGTTGCATAAATCTATTTTGGAATCTATGGAAGGATTTCTCACCTAGTTCAAATGTTCTGAACCAACAGTTCAGTCCAAACAAGACTCTCTAGGCACTATGGC